TCATTTAGAGCAAACTTCACCGAGGCTTCTCACATCCCAGCTGAATTGCCTTAGCAACAATATTATTATTTAAAAGGGAACAATGTCTTTTTTTTCAGTAGCATGACTAGACCTCTGCTTTTAATATGCCTAGACTTAAAAAGGTATTGTGTATTAAATATTTTACTTGATTTTATATTTAGTATGTGTGCTGTTGGCAGAATGATGCAGTTAAATGAAATAACTACGAAATAATGTAAATAGAGAAAATCGTATTTTACATGTGAATGAGCTGGAATGGAGTAGGGGCATTTTTTGGTTTGGTCTAGGTTTTTTGTTTTATTTTCTTCTGGGTTAGTGGAAAGTATAATTGCTGAACTGTAAAATCAAGTGCCAATCCTTAACCATGAACTCCTCTGCTTACTATGCCTAAAGGAGAGCTCAGCTCACAAATACAAAGGGTATTTTATCTAAGCTGCCAGGACTACAAGCTCAGTTTGGACTCTGAAAGTCACATGGTGTTCTCTTCAAAGTTGTCACCAGTTGTCAAGGTTTGTTTATACTTAGGAGGCCTTATGGGTCTTCAGATTGTATCCTAAGTGACAACTCTGAAAGCAGAGGAATTGTAAGAATCCCAGAGTTTTATCTATTTGGAATTTAGCAAATCAATCACTTCATGTAAAGGTGACATTTGTGACCTGATGGGGTAGTTCTGTGTGCATGAGAAATTGTGATGTGGAGTCAGAGATATATATCTCCAGAGAATTCTTTTTATAGAAATGTATATATAACTTTTTTAAGTTCCCATCCTCATTGAAAATCAATAGCAATCACAACCCAAAGTGCCAGGAGGCTCTAGCAGACATGTGATGGTGGATTAAAATCGGATGGCTGAAGTAGCTTTCAGCTGCAGCCTCCGCTCCTATGATGGATGTTGCTTCCCCCAAAACAGGGACAACTGATCTGCTCATGAATCTCCCAATCCACTGCAGTGTCGATCTATAGTAAACTGACTTGGATTCTGATTGGCTGTAATACAGACAGTGAAATTTGTCTTGTGAGAGAAAATGTGCATTATACAGACAGGAAGAATGTCTCGACAATTTCAGGCATTGGTTTTTAAACTCTTGCTGAATGACCCCTGTCAGTTGTAGAAGTAAAACTCGGTGGGCTCCATCAGGTGATTTCAAAGCAACAGAATGCTCATCTCCTTCCCCCACTGGGCACCTGAGGCCCCACTGACCTTTTGGGCAGGAGCTCTGCTTAAATTCGGTGCTTTTCTGAGAAAAAGGAAAATTGTTGCTGGCTGAACCAATGGAAACATTAGCCACGATTAGGTCCCCTCTTTCTCTGCTGGTCTAGCTGCTTAAAGATCGTCACTGCAGGTTTGGGGAGAAGGCTAGCACTGGTAGGAGAGGAACACGTGACACTTGGGCACTGCAAAGCAAGGAGCAGGCAGAGAAATCACCAGTGTAGTACTATGGGTACTGCAAGAGCAGAGTGATTGTAAGGGGGAGGGGAATCATCTTGATGTTATTGCTTTTTCTTTTCAGAGTCATGAAATTACGACGATATCAGTATAAAATACACCCCATGTGACATTATGTAGTAGCAAACGACACCTTCCTCAGGAGTGTTCACATAAATTCCTCCAGCCAACGTTGTTGATATTCCTATCTAGGGACATAAAAGACTAATTTCTATTTTCAGTGGCGTAGGGCATCCTCTCTTGTTCTTCCAGGCAGCTCAGAAGTTTCTGCCCTGTAGATGATGCCTGACAGTCATATAGGGATGTCTGTGATATCATAAAGCATCTGTAACACCACTGGGGACCTTTCTTAGGCACCAGAATCATACTCCAAGCACCTGCATCAGGAACCTCTAGCAGTATAACAGCATTTTTCTTAGCTTGACTTCCAGACAAATTTAAGCCAATAGCTGTTCACTGCCAGTTCAATGAATGTTACAGTGGTGATTTTATTGTATAATATCCTGAGTTTTTAAGGGGACATCTGACTTGGCTACATCAGCAGCCGAAAGCATGAAATAGATAACCTTCTAGCATACTTGAGCTTTGTCTGCAGCATTGCTCAGATTGATAAATTGCATGAAATTATTTTCTTCCCCAAAGAAGGTAAACAGCAATCTGAATTTGAAAAGTTAGGTATACTAAATAGGAAGGAATTTTTTGTACCTAGCAACAGACCTAGAGGAAGTATCCTTTGAATGGTAATTATACATATAAGTCCATATCTATACACACACAGTTTTAATTGCTTGTATTATAACTGAACAAATATCTGTCATTAGTATGCCCTTGGAGATATGCTGTGGTACTAATCAGATTTGTCAAGATGAGACAGTACCTTTCTATTCTGTCTTACACATCATAAATTCTGACTGATATTCCCAAGGGAAAAAAAAATGCATAATGTGTCAATTATGACTTGTTGCATGCACAGATTACTTGCATTTTGTATGCTGTAAGGTAACAAAATGCTATTGATTTTGAATTTGACTTTAAGAAGATGATATTTATTGCTAGTTGTCACTTGGCAGATTTTTTCCTCCTACTGTGAAATGTTTGATCTAAAATTTACGTTTGGAGACATGGAGACAGTGATGGTTTTACAATATTTTTTAAAAAGTGTATAAATTCTATCCTAGTAGATAGACATTATTCATAAGCAGAATAAACATTCTGTAAATAAGACTAAATTTCAAATAAGAAAAAACACACCATGTAATGTGCCAATCTTTTTCTGCTTATACAATGCTGCTGTGTAGTAGAACAGCTTTCTGGGGCTTGAAGCAAGGTATGCTTGTCAGGATGTTTGTGCATAAGCAAGCTGAAGATGTAGAGCTAAGGGAAGCACACAAAACTGCAATGCACTGCATAACAAACAAAAGAAATGTGAAAGAGTTTGGAGTATGAATCTGAGCACCCCAGAGATACAACACATTAAGAGTTAGGGAACCTCTGACACCAAAATTGTCCTTTCCAGATCTACAGACATGTGTGAGATACATAGAAGTAATTTTGGTATCTTTTCAAGATATTTTTCTCACTTTCTACAGAAAAAAAGGAACAAACGCAATGTTCATTAGCATAAGGATTGCCATTTCTTTTTTCTTTTTCTTTTTCTTTTTCTTTTTCTTTTTCTTTTTCTTTTTCTTTTTCTTTTTCTTTTTCTTTTTCTTTTTCTTTTTCTTTTTCTTTTTCTTTTTCTTTTTCTTTTTCTTTTTCTTTTTCTTTTTCTTTTTCTTTTTCTTTTTCTTTTTCTTTTTCTTTTTCTTTTTCTTTTTCTTTTTCTTTTTCTTTTTCTTTTTCTTTTTCTTTTTCTTTTTCTTTTTCTTTTTCTTTTTCTTTTTCTTTTTCTTTTTCTTTTTCTTTTTCTTTTTCTTTTTCTTTTTCTTTTTCTTTTTCTTTTTCTTTTTCTTTTTCTTTTTCTTTTTCTTTTTCTTTTTTCTTTTTCTTTCCCTTTTTCTTTCCCTTTTCTTTTTCTTTCCCTTTCTCTTTCTTTTTAGGAATAAATATGTTTACTTTTGGGCAATATCGAGGATCTAACCCTTTCTTCATTTATTTCTTTAAGGATATCAGTGTAGTAAATCTCAGAGGCTACATACATGTTGTGATGGCAAATATCTGAAAGTCTTCAGTTGCCTTTTACCTCAGCCCTAGTGATAGTTTCCAAATGCACATTTGCCATTCTCTCCGTAAAATGTGAAACTAAATCTGTTTCTCTTTGTATAGAGCAGCTCTGTCACTTTCCTTATCTCCATCACCCTAGAGAATTAACAGCTTTATAGGTTGCATCAGCTGTGACAGAATGTAGGTGATCTCAGGTTGAGAAGCAAAGATATGAGCAAACCAGACATCACCTGATTCCTTGAAATTCCAGACTTTTGTGTGGGTAAGAGTCTCTGAAGCCACTGATATTAATCTAGAAGAGTTAATATCATCAACCAGATGAGGAACATATGTAACATATCTTTGAATATTTCAGCAGTAGCATACAAGCTGATATTGTAAACAAAGCTAAGTGGAGATACTGTGATCATCTGGTTTTGACTGTGGAGTTATGAGTATTTTTACTATTGTTATTGTATATACTGGAAAACAAATACCAGCTGAGATTGTTCAGGTTATCAATTTCTTTTATGAAGAAGAGTAATTTGAGAACATCCAATTGTGGTCAGGTTTCAGTTACCACAGTTTTGGTTTCTGTCCAGATTTAACATTTCTTGGTACTCCAGGAAGAAATAGATTAAGTCATTACTGTTAACTGCCCATTAAATAGTTACTGTGTGTCAACTGTTTACTTAGCAAACATACATACTTACCTTCCTGCCAGCTCTCTAGTACCAAACCTGTGCTTTCTGGAATTAAGCCTGCTTTGGCAGTCTTTGTAACTTGTTTCTTGGGAGATTATTTCATTAAATGAAAAACACCACAAAAAAAGATATCTAAAAATCAGCTACGAGCCTCTTTGCAACTTGTAAGGATACTGGACATGTAAATCGTTTGTATTTCTGTTAGATGAAATGGAGTATATACGTTTCTATTGTTATTGATACATGTCCTTGACAGCAGAATTCCAGAATTCCAAACCTTGAGTGGCATCAACACATAAATGCCATTACAGTCAATGGAAATACACTTAATCACATCACCTGAGAATCTGGCCTACAGCCTGTAGCAAGAGAGTCCTTTGGAGAGTAATAACATTTTTGGCTTTTTCTGCAGCTATTCATTGCAGTCTAAAAAAATGTAATATTAAAATCAAAAAGGGTGATCATGGCTACTTTACGAAATTTGCTCCAAAATTAACTTTACTGGAAGTGGCCCCAGTTCAGAAAAAAAACTCCTTCCAGAAAGCACAAAAGCCTTTCTTTAGCAATCCAGTATTTACAGTTATTTTAAGTGTTTCGATTACGAAGCAACTTCAAAACAACACTCTCATTCTTGATTTTAAGTGTTACATTCTGTTTCCTCTGCTTTGACTATTTGCCTAGGACGTATGTCTACAACCACAACAATTACAGATGGTAAGAACGGATCCGTTCCGTCATCATCCATGAAAGTGGGGAAGAAATCAGTTACAGAAGACCTCGTGACAACGTTCAGCTCACCAGCAGCATGGCTTCTTGTTGTTGCTCTGATTGTTACCTGGTCGGCAGTAGCTATTGTAATGTTTGACTTGGTGGATTATAAAGCCTTTGCAGGTAAAATTCAGCATATTCTGTTTGACATATTGTATATTAAAGTTTAAAAATTTATTAAGAAGTGTGGATTATGCAAATATGCATGTCTCTCACCTTTTTGGAGGCACCACAGTGTCTCTGCTGAGTATACCAAGAGAGAAGATATTGTGAGAAGTGTCAGAACATATTAGTTCACACTTCGTAAATCTTTATAATTTAAATCTCTCCATTTTGCAGTCTGTCCTCATCCTGAAAAATGTGGATGTTTACAGTAATATAGTACGTACATCAGCATCTATGGTCAAATTTTTGTTTTGCAGTTTCTATATAAAATTTTTTCAAGAACAAATAAATTTAATTATTAATTCACATTTTCTGAATACATTTTTAAACTATCTCCTGACATTTGCTTACACAGTTCAATGACAAGAAAAATGCAAAAGATCATTTCTAAACATGTTAACCCTAAACTCATCTTCAAAAGCATAAGCACTGAGGACCAGTTTCTTAATATTAGCTAAGTCACACTATCATCATCAATACAATAATAATTCTATCCTAGTTTAAGACTTGGCAAACTGACTGAATAAGATTGAGTTTTAGGGTACATACTGGTTACTGAGGGCAAAAATGAAAATTAAGTAGGCCGTGCAAGAACTGTGATTGTAGTTGAGGAATAGGAATGAATGGAGAATAGATATTACCTCACTCTTACTTGATTTTTATGCCTTATATCTGACAATGATATATAATGGAAGATAAAATAAATTAACTACCTGTGTTTGTAAGATTGCATAGTGTTCAGCAAGCCACTTCAGCAGTAAAACTTGTGTGAGGTAAGCAGCCTGTAATGACAGGGAAACACGTATCTGAAACAGGAAACATATTATTAGGGTAATTTTCCTTCTTAAATAAGAACTCCAGCTCTAAAGTTATCACGCCTGTCACAGTAATTTAAGTAGGAATAGAAATTCAGACTTCAGCCTTTTAATTCAAAGCAAATTGAGTTGGCGTTTCAAAGTTAATTTCCTGGACTTTATTAGTTTACTAATAAATCCATAGATTTTTGTCCTACTATATATCAATATTGACCTCGAGATTTACTTTCAAAGCTTTTGAGACATAGATAGATCTTGAAAGAAACCGACCAATCCTGGATTAATGGATGACACAGAAGCTCAAAATGTGGAGAAAATAGATCACAAACCTCTCACAAATTTTTTTCTTCTCGTCTGTCTTTGTTTTCAGACGGAAGTCACTTGAGTTCTAGCAAAATATAAAGTTACTTTTGAGTGATTCTCCCAAAAAAAACACCACACACTTAATGACACAACGTAGATAAAAGCCAGTGGAGAGAAATCACCATGTTCTGCTTCTAATTTTCCATATTAACAATCAGTCAAACAGTCAAGTTCTTAAAATGTTTTCAGTGAGCAGCCAAAAACCAGGGCATAACTGAGACCATACTTTTAAACTAAGCAATTCCTAAACTAGCTGTCAGCTCACTCATGCTCAAGATAATAGTCAGGGCAATGCTAAGCAATGAGAATCTATATTCCTACTGGGGACTGAAGGAAACTTTCTAAGCAGATGGAAATCTGATGGTCATGTTGTATTGGTTAAATAAGCTTAAATCCCACAAGTGTTGATGGAAACTGACATTCTTCAGGCCTGGTTGTAGAAGTAAAGTAACGTAAAATTTAATCTGCAAGATGGATTCATATTTTTTTTGAGATTTCTGAGAGATGATACTTTAGTATTTTGAGTTCATTTCTTTTCCTTCCAAAAGATATTTCTGTATGTAAGTGATTAATTAAGCTAGCATTTAAATCAGGTCTCAATGGTGAAATGTTAAGAAAAGGACCTGTGTTGCTCCTTCAGACCAGGTTTTATAAGACTGTTTTCTGTATTTACATAAATATGACAATGGCTACATACTTGTATCATGACACTTGAGTTTCAACTCCTGAGTTCCTACTGAGTCTGATTTTTCCAGGCTAAACCCACTGATCTATAAAAATTCTGGGGAAATAGCTGAAGATTTCACATAGGACAACCTGGCTGGTGTTAGTGATTCTAGAATGATTTTCACCCTCTGACAATTTGGCCCTTGGCCTCCAGTGGAGGTAATGCTGTCTTTTCATATAGAAAGAAGAGTTTGGAACATATTTTTAAGTGACTTTTTAAATTTAAACTTATTGATATTTTCTCTTCACCTTGGCACTGTTCTTTGAACAATCAGACCTGCATAAAAAAAAGTGAACAGTTATTTTCAGGACTGTAAGTTTAGTTTTTCAAGCATGATTAGAATTAATTTTCTAGTTTTCAAATGTAAATGAAAGATGCCAAAGAAATTATATTCAACTGTATATTTTTAATCTATAAAACACAGAATATTTTGTGTGGTTTTCCTTAAATAACACTTGCTTTTCATAAGTCAGTGCATTCAATTTCTTTCCCCTTTCTTTACCTGAAGTTCCATGAAGTTCAAGTTTAGAAATTATGCATAGCATATGAATGAGGCAAGCTGAGAAAGCTGAACTCTGTTAGTCTAGAGAAGAGGAAACTTAGGGGTGACCTAGGAGCAGCCTGCAGCTTTCTGAAGGGCAGTTGCAAAGATGACAGAGGACTCTGACCTATGGGCTCCCACCAGAGACTTCCACTGTGTTTCTCTTCCAGAAATAACTGTCTCGGTAGCAGAGCTGCTGGCAGGGGCTGTACTGCACAGGAATGACCGCAGTAGCAAGCAGAAGAGGGTTGAAATAGCTCAGGAACATACACGGATTTATTCCTCCTGATTACACTAGAGAGCTGTTAGCCTCTGGCCAATAAAAGAAGTGTAATGCCCAAATTTATCAGTTGCCTAGATTACACAGAAATTCATGGAGGTCAGTAGAAACACAACACGTCAGCAACACAACACTTCAGACTTGAACTCAAGCATTATTTTCTTATTTCAACTATTAACAATTTTGCACTCATTATCTTAAAGGCAAATAATTCCCCAAAGGCATAAATTATTAGCATTTGTATTTTGGTCGTATATTTTTAATTTATGAATATAAACTCACATTGCCTCTATGGTCAGAGTGCCAACCTACAGATTTTGCTTCTTGATTACTATGGTCTCATGTTCTTTTAGAAGTAAACTACAGAGTTCGGGAATTTTGGCAATTTGTCTAAGATTAAATTTGTCCCAGAAGTAACTGTATGAAGATTAGGTGTATGGTTTCACCCTAAAACAGATGTAGTAAATTGCTTTTTGGGGGGCCCTTTCTATTTCAGTATTTTAAAAGGAACCTTTCGAACTGGGGAGTCTCAGGGAGAATAACACTTAGATTTTAGGTTGCTGAAATTAGATTACATTAATTCAAGTTCCACTCCTAGAAAGTTTTAACATACATTCTGTGTAATTTTGCACATCCAGAACACTGTAAATTCTATAGTACTCTGTAGTATTCAGGAGGTGTTGGTTGTAATATAAAATATTGCAGGAGGACCCTGGTGTTGCTTGTTGCATGTGTAAGGCTCTGCCTCCTTGGTGGTTGTGCATCACTTTGTGCAGAGGTTAGAACAGAGATGGGATCTGCTAGTCAGCTTTGTCAGTGGATTTTGAGGAAAGCATGGGACAAGAATTAGATCAGTGCTGAAAGATTCGCCCCTATTCTATCTACACAGAAGGAAATTAAATTCCGTGGTGTTTTGCTTTAGTGTGTTTTATGTTCATTCCTGTGAGGAAAGAAATGAAAGTTTGCATTGCTGCCATGGTGTGTGGTATAACTATAAATATGAAAGAAATATTTCTAACGTATATGAAGATGACATGCATTAGAAAAGCCTGAGATAAGAAATCATGAATCTTATGCAGTACATAGCATGTATGAATATGCAATAAGTAGCATACCAAATTCTCAGTATTTTCAGAAATGCAGAAAATGATTCATTTTTTTTGGTGCATGTTTTGCAACAGTTTGTTATTACCACCATCCTTTGTGTTAGAAAATACACCTTGTTAATTGGCTTCATAATTCATGAATGTATTTCACACATTTGTTGTACACATAACTAGATTATGTATTTTAATTGGTAAATGTAACTGAATAATTTAAGATTATTTTAGTTCTAAAGATTGACTGCCCAGGAATCCACACTTACTAATGGGCTAATAAAGTGTTCAGAATTCCGTGCCATCTCTGTGACCAATTATAGCTAATTAGCACCACCCTAATTTCAGATCCAGAGTGTTCAATATTCAAAGTAAATTGATAGTGATTTAGCCAGTCACCTAAAGGCCAGACTAAGTCAGACCTAAGGAAACCTCACCATACCTATGAAACCCAAAACAATCCACAAAATAATCTAGATGAAAATACGGAACACATACAACATGAGCTTGTCATTTTATTGTGACTGCTTTCACGAAAGAAAAAGAGCAGGCTCTTTGTTGCGGATAATTCATTTCTCTCAACTGTAAGGAGGGTTTTTAGAGACCTTCAGCAAAGGCAGATATCTGTAGAGGTAATACCTGTCAATGACAGGAATGAGGAGCTACAGAAAGATTTAGCTGGCCCTGGATAGTCAGGATGATGTGCCTATTCATATTCTTCAGCAGAGGAAAACAGGCAAACAAAAAATTAGGAACCATATATCCACATCTGAATTTTGGAGAAAACAAATACACGAAGGTAAAAATCAAGGCTCTATACAGTCAGTGTATAATTGACACATGGACATTTTTTTTCCATGTCCTGCATAATCAAACTGTAAGATGCAAAGCCTGCTAGCTGCAGGGTGCTTGCTTCATCATTACAAGAAGCAGAAGTCAACAAAATACACAAAATACTGCTATTCTACTGGATTTCTTTTTTTGTTTGTTTGTTTGTTTTGGTGACATAATTGTTATTAGGACTATATACATCCGTTTTTCTCCTGGAATGTCATCACACTGTAATAACTTTATTGGATTTGTATTAATTGGAAACTTTTAAGAGCTGCAAAAAGAATATTGTACTTATATTTAC